CGTTCTGAATTTAAAGACATAAACACGTCCCTTGTTGCTTACGTTCGAAGTTGCAGCTAAACTTTTTCTCGTGTTTACTCTCTAAAAATAATTTTTAGGACGTCATTCCTGACATTTTTATGCTTCGTTTACGTTTATTTCTTTCTCAACCATTTCTCCTTGGCGAAAAAGCATAAATTTAGCGTGTTGCTAAGCGAAACGCTGAAAGTCATAAATTAACTTTATGTAAAACGATGATAACTTTTAAATGCATCTTGTTGAAATGAAGGCAACTTAGTCAACTTATTACTGGTTAGTAAAATAATCTTAGTCTGTTTTCTTCAGAAATCACTTTTAATTTATATTACATACGTGTATTTTACCATTAAAATAAAATTTGTATGAATTCTAGGTTTTTAATACTGCAAATCGTCAAAATGCACTTAAAATTTGGACGGTTTGGTTGGTTTTGGATGGATCAAAGTTTTGCTGCTTTTTAGATCTAAAACAGCGATTCTCAACCGGTTGTACGCAAAGAAACAAAGTATTTTTAGCTGTTAAATTCAAAAATCTTGTGAAGAAAAGAACAATTTGATAGAAATTTCCTGTGATCGAACTCTAACTGAAGATTTAAAAAATAACACACTTGTCAACGTTTGCCTAACCGGTGAAAAAAAAAAAAAAAGGATTTAAAGGCATTTCAAATAAGGCTATTAAATTTTTATTGCTTTCTTGCACAACCTATTTGTGTGAAAAAGTATTTTCTTCCATTTTATGATTGAAAAATAAATACAGAACAAAATCCTAATTTATGGTTAAAACTAAGTGAGACCAAACGTAAAGAAATTGATCTCTCTTAAACAGGCCCAAATTTTGCACTAAATCTTAGAATTAAACTATTGTAACTTGGATTTTAATAAGTAAATACGGTAACCAATTTTTAATCTAATTTTTTAGGTGTTCATATTTAATACAAATAGCCAATATGTTGTGCATATGGCAATATATACACTGGTGTCCAAAAGTTAAGCATAATTGATAATTATGTGAATAAAGAAGGAACTGTAAATCAGAATGGCGGGAAACGTGATATGCGAGTGTAAAATGGTTATAAAATAAGGAAGCAAATCAAAAGAACGCTAATAATTAATTTTATTATCCAAAGTAGCAGTTTGAAAGAAAACTGAGAATATCAAGGGTTCACACTTTAAAGAAAAAAAGAAAGAAAACATTAAATAAATTACTGATGCTGCAGTTTAATAAGGCGTGTTGTCACCTCTGACAGCCTGACAGGCTATTTACCATATTTGCTATGAGATGATGAATGAGTTGTGGGCTCAAACGGTTCCAAGCTTCTTGGAGAGTTCTCTTCAGTTCTGTAACGGAGCTTGGTGGGTGCGAAAGGGTTGCAATTTGTCTCCAGATCATATCCCATACGTGCTCGATAGGATTTAAATCAGGGGAGTTCGCAGGCCACGACATGCGCTGGATGTTTTCCGTTTAAAAAAAAGTCATCAACCAGCACCGCTCGGTGACATGGCGCATTATCATCCATGAATATGAAGTCAGGACCGACAGCACCTCGAAACAAGCGAACATAAGGCTCAAGAACTTCGTGTCTGTATCTTTGACCAGTCACAGACCCCGTGTCAAATGAATGGAGGTCTGTGCGGCCGTCCATCATGATGCCTGCCCATACCATTACTCCCCTTGATGGAAAATGACGTCTTTCCGATATGTTTCTTAGTTCCAAACGTGTTCCACGTTCTCTCCATATCGTTACCCGACGAAAATCAGAACTCAGACTAAACCGAGACTCGTCACTGAACATCACATTAGCCCACTCTCCCACACTCCAATATTGATGTTTCAAACTCCAGTTCAAACGAGCGCGTTTCTGCTCAGACGTGAGGAGAATGCAAACTGCTGGTCTTCTGGCATACAGACCAGCATGATTGGGTCTCCTGTAAACAGTTTGTCTCGAAATTCGTATTCCTGTGGCGACTGTGAGCGCCGAACCCAGTGCTCTGGCAGTACTGCCCCTCTGACGTTACGCACTTATTACCAGATATCGGTCTTGGCGAGGGGTTGTGACTTGGTCGACCTGATACTGGTCGTCGGGTAACATCTCCCGTTCCTTGAAACCTCTGCCACAGTCTTGAGATCACAGACTGGTTCACATTCAGAATTCGAGACACTTCGGTTTGTGATCGTCCGGATTCCAGCATTCCAACGATTCTTCCTTTCGCATACATCTCTAATTGGCGTCTTTGTGCCATCATTCACCTTGTTTGATGGTTAACAACGTTCTTTCGCACAGCAGTTGCCCGAAACTTGTCTCAATTGCCTATGCTGCGTGAATTGGTTTCTCTGTGTTCTGACATGCGCAGGTGTTTCGTGCAGGACGTAGTCGACTGAAAAGTTTTGCATAAACCCAATGTTTCTTCTTCACCCAATTACTATCCGCAAGAAATTTGGAATAATTTTACAAATATTTACTCCATGTTTTTCGCATTTTACAATTTATGCTTAAGTTTTGGACACCAGTGTATATTTTAATATTTCCATTTTTTGCCTAATGACCTGATTGGTCAATGGCCGGGCATTTGATAAATAAAAGTATTTCCATTGAGAAATTAAAAAATAATCATCTCAAAATATAGATGTGGCACTTTTTCAGTTTTTGTTTAGATGGTACGCGTTAGACAAAATGTTGAGAACCGCTGGTCAAAAACGATTTCCTTCCATGAAGTAACTTTATGCAAGGAATGCGGATACTAGAATGTCTTTACCGGTTTATCCATCGGGGTCTTGAAGGACCTGGATGAGCTGGACCTAGCTAATATTATGTTATAAGGGAGAATATTTTACATAATCATGAACAAATATTAAATGATTTTGCAAAACAATTTTTGCCGCTCTCATGCACTTCCATGTCCTTATTGTATACTATCTAGCCGGCGCAGAGCAAAGTGATATATGAGTGAGCGATATTTATTTCTAACGCGTCAGGCGAACGATCTTTTCGACCTTAAAAAGAATAGAAACATACTTGAAGTCTAATTTGAGTCAAGACAAGCTTGATGAACGTCGCTATCATAGAATACAACGCACTAGAATAACTTGATGGTGATGCTAATAATATCATCAATATCGAGTCACGAAAAGAATGTTGTGAATTTTGTAGTGTTAATGACTATTTTATGTAAACCTTTTCTGTGTAAACACTTAAAATATTTTTTAAAATTTTAATGCATCCTCAAAAATTTTTTATACACATTTCACAATAAAATTTATTGCTTATTTTGCAGCCCATATAAAGGCCACTTTTTGAATGTGACGATGCTAGGGGGGCCCGTAGCTTTCTACGTCCAGGGCTCAATATTCTTCAACCGGGGCACCGTAGGGAAAGAAAAGAATGATGACCCTAGAAACGGTTTCAACGAAATCTGATAAATAACAAGGAAAAACTGCTACAGTTCATTTCATTTCGCCGACGATCCTACAACTGTTAAGCCGTGCGGAATTGTTTTTCAGTTATTCATATCTTGACTGGAATACATTACATGTTCCAAACACTAGATTACAAGTTATGCTGCAGTACGTATTAACAGAAATCGCTAACAATCAAGTTAAAAACATCAACAGACGTACTTTAAAATTTTGCGGTAAAGTAATAAATAACATATAGTAATAATTCATCAAGTCTGAATTACACCTAAATGCATGTCAGAGGAATAACGTACCGAGTCATTAACGATTTAGAAGAATTATAATGAAATATATAACATAAAACGGAACAGTACAACTTACAGATAATGGGACTGATAACTTACAAAAGCCAACAAAATTTTTTGATTGCTTTTTCAAGAGCGCAAATGTTTTACATTTCTGGAGTACTCATTTTTCAAAATAATTTACAGAAAGAGGTTAGTAATTTTTATGAAAATGCCTAAATAAAATTAATTGGATTGCTAACGAGTATTACAGTTGCAAATTCTTAAAGTGTAAACTGAATTGTTAATTAAAGGTTTCTAAAACTGATACGTTACTTTTGTAAGATATATTTTAATTTTATAACAGTTCTTTTTATTTCAATATACTTTCCTATCTATTCTTGTTTCAACTAACAAATCACCACCAGAATGAGTTTTTAGAATCTCATTGAATGCAAATGAGTTAGAAGTAGTATTTAAAGAACGTTCAACTTACTTCGCGAGAGACAGCTAAGAATCCCGAGTAGCGCGTGTTTGCCTTCTGGCTAAGTTTCTCTAGAAGTGATTACGCTCGGCCGTAAATTACGTGCCTTTTGATATTCGCCGGCTAGTTTAAATTCAGGGCCACCTATGCTAGATTTGCGTTAGCTTCGGCTAACTCTCTTTTAGTTAGTTCTAATTTACTTCTTATTTCTTGAGTTCAAGCCCGAGTGGAGGCTTTGTTGTAAGTCCGAAAAAGGGGACCAACTGTTCATCTTGATTGAAATAAAGGATAGTTAACCCTTCTTGAGTGTACGACTTCTGTTAGTGGAACTCAGGGATAAGTTGCTAACAAGTTCACTAGGTTCCTCAACGTTCAATGAGGAACTCTAAAAAAATGGGTAGGCTTTTTAGAGTCACAGCAATTTTAAATATGATTTTATCTATAATGAAAGTACAAAAAAATTAATTTAATTAACTGCATAATATATTGTGCCTTAACGTAACAAGTATTGCTCCTGTAAAATACTTTACTGAAACAATACTCATAACATTAAGGGCTTTAATTTCGTACCTTTTCTATAGTTTGTTTGGAAATTCAGATATTGCGGCATGCTAAAATGCTTTTCCTTTTCTAAAATTATCGAATGATTTCTCGAAAGAGTTTTTCTTTTAGAATGTTAAGCACATAACAGTTAAGACTCGATTCTAACAGAGCTCTTGCTGTCATTTATAATGTAGTTAAATTTTGTATGATAAAACATTAAGCAACAGTTTTTCACGTACATACAAAATATCTGCATTTTTATTGCCATTATTCTTTAGGTAACATTGAGAGAGATGGCGAGCTCTACGTGTATGTCTACGAGCTGCCTGTTGAACAAACAGACGACGCTGAAGTACTTGAGTTTGCCTCAACCGGAAAACAAAGTGCAGTGCATGTACGTTTGGATTGATGGTACAGGAGAGCAGCTAAGGGCCAAAACCAGGACCATAGATTTCGTACCCAAAGCGGCTGAAGGTGATTTTTCTTTTATTCTTTTTGAACATCATTTTTGTTGTCGTATTTTCCCTCGCATCAAGTTTTATATAGAATAGTCTTTATTAACGTTCTGCTGCAAGAAAAAGAGCTTTCAGTTAAGTCAGTTTTGAGGTTTCTTAGTCTTGAAACTATGCGATGAGCAGACCCGTGGAACTTATAAATCCAATCTAATACAGTTACTTGGAAAGTATATAGAAAATTTTTCACTGTAATGTACCATTTGGAAAAAAAAAAAAAAATCAGAAAATTTAGACTCGGACAAAAGCTAAATTTAGAACTTATCCCGAAATTTCTTACCGTTGCTCTACAATGGGATTAATTTTACGATTTTCTTCCTATTAAGAACAATGTGAATCTTCGTATAAAATCGGGGTCTAATCCTAAGAAAATTGTCGGCTTCACAGGAATATGAATCACATGACATGGATAAACAAATCTGATACCCTCCGAAGAATTTTATTTATTCAAGATATGTTCTAACTGCAGCACATAACGTATTATTCCTACTATTACAGGATACAATTGCCGAAACTAATATTTTTATTCAAAATTAAGTTTAATTAATTTGTAGAGTCATTAGGGTTTTTTGAAGGAGGAGACGTGAAAAATGTGCAGTGCCCTCGCCGGGACTCGAACCCTAGACCTTTCGAATATGTGTCGAGTATTCTTCCAGCTACACCACGAAATATCGTAATCGCGAAAATTTTCGGGTATCATATTTCAACGAAAATATACATTTTGACCACTATCGAATGCAATTTAGCGATGTTTTTGCGTGACATGTACGTAAGGACAGAATAAAGGACTTTCTTTCCCAAAACGGGTTGCAAAAAGAATTTAAAATGGATTCAGAAGAGTTTTTTATCATGATGTCTGTACATACGTATGTATGCATCTCGTATAGCTCAAAAACGAGTAGCCTCAGAACGTTGAAATTTTGTATATAGGACTGCTATGACATGTAGTTGTGCATCTCCCTTTTTGGTTGCAATCGGCTGCATATTCTTATATGTTTGTAAACTATGCATCTTCTGCTGTAGAAATGATTGAATGATGTTGTTCTTATCTTGCAGTTAAGGTTTTTATGCCTTTAATTAATTAATCTGCATGCAAAAGTTGTAAATTATCAACAATTTAAAAGTTGTTTAAGTGTGGGTAAAACTATTTTTTTAACCATAGAGTCATATTTGTTTACACTTGAAACTTAGCAGAATTGTGAAGTAAGTTAGTTTCTGCACCTTCAGTGTCTTTTTGCGGAATGGGACCAAAAGTAAACGTTCAGTTTTGTGCACCGAAAAATCTGCCTTTTTGCCCGCTGACCGAATTGCTTGTTTTTGTGTAGAAACTAATTTTAATTGCAAACATTTTCTTAATTGTTTTAACTGTATTTAATGTTTTACATTTTTCTATATTTTGCAATTTTCAATGAAGATATTTTGAGTTTTTACGTATTTTGCCTTGCCTCGAAGTGAGAACTGAATTAATTGAATGAGAAATATATCTCTGATGAAATTCGAGGAAAAATAAGTTTAAATGAAATGCAGCAAAAAATGCGTATAATTTAAGATTCCGTACAAGGAAGTCGTGGTGTACACATCAGATTTTTATAGTTTGCAGATGTGAAAGAATTGATAAAAATATACGTAGTATTAAACTCGTTTGATCATAAATATTAAGTTAACGTATGTATGAATATCGAAGAGTTCTTGGGATGCAGCTAGCTCATTTTAAAAATTGTTTCTTCAGAAATTGACTCCAAAGAAACAAAACAGTTCTACCTCAAAGCCATTGCTAAAAAATCATTCATGATGTTCAGAGTAATTTTGCTATTATTACAGTCCTAGGTCGTTTTCTTATAATAGCAACGAAAGGTTTTACAAGTCTTTAAAAAATAAATGAATAAATAAAATAAAAGGTTTTTCTACTAAAAATTTTAAGGTAAAATTTCGTGTTCTAACTAAAAGAGATTCTTAAGTTTTTAACAATGCATTTTAGTTTATCATTCGCATAAACAAAAAAAAAAAAAAAAAAAAAAAAAAAAAAAAAAAATATATATATATATATATCTATTATCTGTATTTATTTTAATTTTTATTTATTGCTTTAAAATCTTCGTCCATACCTCGTATTTATTTGCATCAGTATAAAATGAAGGACATGATTCTAAATCTACATTTAGCATCTTCCTAAAATAGAGGAGGTATCGAAATAGCTTTTAATTTTCAGGTGAAAATGCTAAAAGTTACGCTAAAGATACTGATATTAAAAAATATATTGAACTAGAGATTTCATTATCATAAAATAGCTCCTAAAAGTTTTAAGTAGAGATTTGCGGAACTGCTTCTTTTATCTTTATATTTTGAGTAGTTTTTCTTTACAGACGATATTAAATGTAATCTAGCTGTCTAGGTAACAAAAACTACATTTTCTTTTCCTAATTTCTTACTCGTGTTAGTTCCAGTTCAAAGGGAGATACTATAAGTTTTATGGCAAGTTTCTATTGCACTCGATTAGGCATATTGTGTACACATACAATTTTTTATTCATCTAAAATTAAAAATGACTACGTAATTAATTATATTTAAAGAAAAGAAAACAAGTAAGTTATCTTCTTGAAATCGGTATCTTTGATCAATGTAATATGGAAAACCGAATAATATAAATTTGTCTTACTTGAATCAATAATGTATTTTTTGCTGTGTATTTTTTATTAAATATAGAATTGAAGGAATGGATATTTTTTATCACTCTTTCTCTTCAAATTCTGAGAAACTTTATTCTAAATAAACAATTTCTTACTTCTTACTAATTTCCTTGCTTCTTTAATTTTTTTTATTAATATATACTTTTAGATCTACCGATATGGAATTTTGACGGTTCCAGCACTTACCAAGCAGAGGGTTCGAACTCGGACATCTATCTGCACCCTGTTGCACTCTACAAAGATCCATTCCGCGGCGGCAATAACAGACTTGTACTCTGCGAAACCTACAAGTACAACCACAAGCCGACAGGTACACTCATGTTTTGCAGAAATATCGACATTAATTCCATATGCAAGCTATTTTTCAATATGAATATGATATTATTAGTTTGTTTAAAAAAATCTGCTGGTAATGATTAAATAATTTGCAGTTTTTTATATTATTAAATAATAAATTTTAATGCAGTTTTTTATATTATTAAATAATAAATTTTAAATATTTTCCCAATAGAAAATAAAGTATAAAGTTTATTTTCTATTGGGAAAATATTTAAAATAATTATTTATTAATTACAGTCTATAAAATTTTAAATGAAGCAGTTATTAATGTATAATGATATTAATTGTTTGCGTAGTTATTTTATTTGAATTTATTAGATTAAGACAAAATAAAAAGTAATAAAAAAAAAAAAAAAAAAAAGGCATAAGTTCACTTCACCCTCAAGAAAAAGAAAAGGGCAATAAAAAGGCATGGAGTATCTAGCATGATATCACCTCATCCCGATGGTTCTTGAAAGTTGTATACGATTTACATTACCCCAAACTACTACTGATATTGCACAGCAGTTTGGCATGTTGCTGATAGCTTTTTTTAGAGTGAAAAATCCTGTGGCTGATTTATTAATTCATGGTGGAGAATTACAGTCTGTTGCAAACTAAGCGGCAAACAGCATCTCGTATATACATTCAGTAGGTTTAAACTCGGTGAGCGTACTGGGCGTTCTAGACATATTACATATATCTGAATTGCGGATATTACTGAATTAAGCTAAATATATGAGGAAGTGCATTATCTTACATTAAATGGAATCTAGAATCAAATGCATATCTAAAAAGCCTTAAATATTGATGCACGAAGACAGATGTTATTGGGGAATACTGTTCATCACGTTATAGTGCTGATTAGAGATATAAAGGATTTGATGCGTATTGGCCTTTGTTCGAAAGCAAAATTTAATGGGAAAGAATCAATTGATGAACTTGTACATCGTCTGGACATCACTTAGGTGATTTTACGCCTGGCCGTATTATTGGCAAGATTGAGGAAAGGTGAAAAATAACAGATGTTGCTAGGGTGTTCGATGTTAGCCAAAATGTTTTCAAGGCTTTGGAAATCATTTCAAACAAATGGAATGGGTAGCAAACATCACGAAGGAGGTAGTGATCGCAGTGCGACGCCTGTGAATATCGGTACATAATGCTATCGACAAAAAGGCTCAGTGTCGGCTACTGAAGTAGCAAATCAGTTACTTGCTGCCACTGGCAAGCAGAACTCCTGAAAAACTGTAGACGTTTGCATTATCAAGAAGGACTATACACCCGCAATCCTATGGTATACATTCCATTGTCTAGACATCAGCGTTCCGCCCCTTCACAATGGTGTTGTCAACACCGCAACTGGAGGAAAGATAATTGGGCTTGTGTACCATTCTCAGATGAAAGTAGGTTCAGTCTCTCGTCTGATTGTGGACGACAACTGGTGTGGCATGAGAGGGGTACTGCAAACATACAGGAAACGGACCGATACCCTACATGTGGCGTCACTGTATGGGCTGGAATCATGATCAATGGCCATATGTCGCTCTATGTACTTCCAGTTGGGACTACGATTGGCCAACGATACATTAAGGATGTTCTGAATATTTTAATATATAATTAGTAAATCGTAATTGCGGTCAAATGGTAAAGTTCAAAATATAGTATAAAATCCGATGGATCAGCACACCGTATTAGTAATTTTAACTTAAGAAAATAAGAGAAAGTTGTGGAGAAAATGTAAATGTTCTTGATTGTACTGGTGTATTTTTGACTTAGAATGGTGAATTGCTTCATCTGAACATCAAATCGCATTCGAAAATGACAGGTCTGTAAACAGTGACTTATTTAATATTTCATTCTTAATTATAATTAAATGTGTAGAAAGCGCTTTTAAGCAATTTTGTGAACGGATCAAAAAAGTGAAAATGTTACCAAACTAAATTAAATTGTTAAAATTTTTGCTAATAATAGAAAACTGTATATAAATAATGAGAAAGATAACGAATCATTTATGTTTAAAACTACCCCTCCCCCAAATCCAGCCAATTTTAAATACATGTGAAATGCAGAACTTTTAAATTCAGTGGTAAATCCTTGCTTGTTCAGAGTGAAATAACTTTGTGGTATTGTTATTATTCATAAAATATATTAATTATGTATTCTTATTTCTTCAAAACATTAATTACATTACAGTAAGAAATAGTGAATAAGGAATTCGTAACGTTTTTGTTTATGTTCAGGGCGTGAACTTCGACAAAATGGACTGAATATATTTGAGTAATCAGAAACCAGTCTTTCAAATGTTTTTGTGTAGATAAAATTGATTCATTTATTGTTAAATGCAAACAGTAACATAGGTTCTTGAGAGGATTTATTCTTTCTCCGGGAACTCAAAAGGTGTGAATTTCTCTCACATTTCCTCTCTGTCTCATTTGCTTCTATTTTCTTCACAAAAAGAAACTGAATTCATGATAGTGCTGTTTGTTGTCTTTAAATGTTTAAATTTAGGTAGAACAAAACATTTGGCAGTTTTTCCTTTTCCTTGAAATTATGCGTTTGGTAATTTTTTTGTTCAATTTGCAGAATCAAACAAGCGCAGAAGTTGCGTGGAAGTTATGGAGAAAGCTAAGGAAGAGAAACCATGGTTCGGTATAGAACAAGAATACACACTTTTAGACTGTGATAAGCATCCTTTTGGGTGGCCCAAGAATGGATTCCCTGGTCCTCAAGGTAAGTAACTAAATAAAACATATTTTAATGAAATCAACACATTTGTTACGAAAAAGTAGACTACATCAGGGGCTGATTTATGTTTTCATGAGCAGCAGCTTTGGCTAAATTTCAAATGAGCAATTTCACTCAGGGACAATACATTGCTGTCACAGGTATATCAGTGATAAAGTTAGATTCCATTGTTCGTGTGTGGAAGCCATTTTTATGTCAATGATCCTTCCAATAAATGACAACAAATCATTTCCATTCTATGTATATCAATCATCGTCGTTAACTTTTTCTGGTTACGAGATCTAGTTGGTACCCTTCATATTATCATTCAAAATGCACTGTGCTTTTTCAACCCTTAAATTTTTCACATATGTAAGAATTTCTTACTTAGCTATTCAATCCAGGAGTCCAATTGCGGATTGTTGTGCCTCAGTTATGAACCACACGCAAAATTCCTTTAGATATCACTTGACTTGATGGAAATAACAAAGTGTTTTGTGGGACATTTTTTTATTAATAATTTGAAAATTTATAAAGTAATTTTGCTATAAAAATAAAACTGAAATTTGCGTGTGAGAATAGTAAATACTTCCTAAAACAATTGCAACAGTTTTGAAAGAGAGCAAAGAATTATAGTTTACTTATTATTAATGACTTATAGCAAATATTCAATTGTTTGCTCACTGATTATCGCTTTTATCAAAAGGGGTGTTGCTCAAAGGGAGAATCCTGATAGCTTAGGTGTCGTCAAATTATGAATAATCGTATTGTTGTGTTTTTGTACGGTTGGTGGATTTGGAGTGATTAATGATGATACTTGATAAAATATAAAAACACAATTTATTTGCAAGTATTGTTCAGGACAGCTACAAAAAGACATTTACAGTCGTCGAAAAACTACGATAAACACGGTGAAACAATCAGCAACACAGTCTTCAGGCTATTACAGTGAAGATAACTTGACAGCAAAGCACCAGAGTACAGCTCCCGACTCGGTTCGGTCATTCTCGGGACTCTACGTACTCTCCGTGCTACAACTCGCGATGCACTCGTCGATACATTCGCTAGACTTGCGATATGCCGACGACCAACTCGATAGACTACAAGACACTCGACTGACGATCGACTCCGTAGACTACGAGACACTACACCAAAGAATCTCTAAAAAGAAGAAGTAAAGGTTCCCCGGGGAAAATGTGGCTCCGTCAGACCGAAGAGACACATTATGTATATCCCTGAAACTTACTTTAAAGGGGCCTACCATTCCGAAGCTATCCACCATCCGTACCTCACTGCGTATGTGCGAAAATAACATCAGGAGGCAACAAAGCAGCATCAAAGAATGCAGCATGCCGTCGGCCATGTTAGCAATCTTTTACCACGTTGTTCGAAAACGTTCTTTGTTGTTGTAGTCAGAGGTACTTTGTTTTAGCTATGTGAAATTCTTTTAAAGACTTTTTAAATGTAATTCTGTAAGTGAAATGGTTTTGGCTATTGGGTGAAAACTTTGCTCTTGGTTTTCACAATGGTCATTCCAAATAATTGTCTAACCGTTTTCATGATAATTTGTTTTTAAAGTTGTTGTCAGATAATTATAATGTATTTCAGTGTTTTCAATTTATTTAGGGGTGCCTTTAATTGTCTTTAAATATTTTTTTCTGTTTCAGTTAGTTATTGCAAATTTTGCTTTTAAAATTTCACTGTAAAATTTTAACTATGGATCCATAAAAATTTATTACGTTTTGTATGGCATGTGTTTTGCCCCTTTTCAAGTTTACAGAAGAAAAGAATTAAGAAATTTATTTCATTTAAATTTTGTCTTCGTACGGCTTGCTGTTTAAATTGAAAGTAAAAATTGGACAGGATTTCTATAATTCGCCCCAAAATTCCATCTAACATCCTTTTGCTCATAAAACTCCAGAAATGTATGAAAATAAAACATTTTGATTTATTTCAAAGTAAAAAAATTTACTATCTCCTCGAACTGCGCTGTTTAAATTTCACCCTGCGCTTGTGTTTCACTGCATAGCCGTGGCTCTTCGATATAGCGGCGCAGAGGCGAAACAGGTTTACATTGCGTCTATGGCAGCTTTCATTCTTCTCCTTAGAGATTCTTTGACTACACTACTCCACATACCAGCAGGGTTTATATAGCTTTTGGTTTACATCTGAAAACATCTGGGCCAAAACGGTAAGAATTCGTCCCAGAAGATTCTCCATCCATTTATGGCATATCGCCAATTGGCAATGTCGCCAAATGGTCGCTTTCGAGCCATATCTGGCAACCCTAAACCTGCTTTTCGGGAAAGCTGTCTTACCACGTGGTGGACATTTCATAACAATATAAACTATAAAACCGGAACGTCCAGATTTATAGTTTATATAATGGAGATGCAACTGATTGTATTTTGTTAAAACTAATGAGAAAAACATTTGCTTATTTATATTTAAATTTTTTATATTTTATTTTCATTGTTATGAGGCTATATGAAAGAAGCATAATTAGAATGAGGCAATAGTGCTTAAAGTGTGAGCAACGGTTGATTTCACTTGATTCGTAGCCTGTGCTAATCAGTATAATTTCAAAGTAACCATTGAAGTACAGATTAATGACTGAAGACTCTTAGAACATATTTTTTGAGTCAAAGATAGCCTAGTCTTCGATGGACAAAAATCGCGAATCTTGTTTAAAACAAACTCTCGCGTGAAATCCTTCCCCTTCCAGCATGTTTCAGGAAGAAAATATAGAGCTGTAGATTGTAGGGTTGATGAATTGATTAAAAAAAAAGTTAGAATTTAAAAGAGGTTCATTTCAGGCCATTTTAAATAACGAATTTCTTACCAAACTCTGACTATACTACTACCGGGTGATTCAAATAATTTTATTTCTGAAACTTAACTAACTCAGTAGGACAACTAGATGCATAAAAAGACGAATTTGCTTAAATGAGTTTTATTTCTCCATTTTTAACTACACAAATAACAAAAAGAAGATAATAATTTTCTTGTGATATCTCCATAATATCTTTTATTCTCGTCTCCACAACAACAACAATGCCAGTTTTGAAGTTATATAGAGTTGCAGATAATTTTATCAAATAATAAAATTTCATCTTAAAACATACCTTGACCTCAGTGAAACATGTCACATAATGTAAGCCGCTGGTAATTACCTATTCAGTTTTCAGAGCTAGATATGAAAATTAAATCTTGGGAGCTACTGAGATTGATTCAGCGTAGCACTTCGTTAAAAGAACATGATCAGTAGTTTGATGATGTAGTAAAATTTTGAGATTTCATTCCTCGTTTGATGAACGACAAATTTATAACCAATTAATGGATTTGAAATTACACTCATCTAAAATAAAAATCTATCATTCTGAATCTCTCTGTATTTTACATTATTTTTTACAGAATGAATGCATCTGTCATAATCTAGTACTTTAGAATACGCACTTTAAAATCATTTCTTCCCCCAAAATCATGACTTGTAATCATAGTAATGACTTCTGCCGAAAGATCAAATCCTCTGATTTACTACCTTTGTATTTCGACACATGTTGTTAACGTAGCTGAGGGGAGGGTCATCACGACCTTGAAATGCCTGTTCTAAAGTAACAGACTATAGTTACATATCAAGACTATTTTTCATAAATATTCTATTCTTTTGTAATCATTTTAGAGAGAGAGAATATTAAGAATGTTAACAGTGGAATGTTATGATGTCCTGTATCTTTTACCAAATAAATCCATGAATCTAAATTGGAATATTTTTATCCCCCTCATACAATAAATAATGCCTTATAAAATTTTGTAATTATGCGAAAAGTTACTAGTGTTAATTTTTAATTTTTAGAAGGATGTTGCAGTAATTTACTGCATTGTGATAATAATTTAATCTAGTATTATAGTATGACTGCATATTCTGATATTATTTGTATTTTGAAACAAATTTTAATATCTCTAAATAACTGTTTATGACTGCAATGATTTGAAAACACCATAATCTGAAAATGGACTTAAACGGAAAATCCGTCATAAATGGAATGCAATACAGTGACTTTTGAAATTCTGCAGGCCTGCTGAAATACAGACTTTTTCTCAAAATGGTTACAGGAGTCGACTGCGGTACCGAAGGGCTCAGATTCGAATCCCGATATTTGTAAATGTATAGTGTCTTTGGGGCATGGGGGCACTCTAAATAATATGGCGAGCAAAAAATTCTCTCGTATGGTTTAATGGTAAGGGGCCACTCCCTGAGGTGTTGTCCTTCAAAACTGGAAAGTAGAACTCTAACCTCGAGGCTCTGGCAACCATTCTTCCGTAAAATACATTGACAAGACAACAACAACTGCTACTAGTCGATTATCGGGTTTTAATGAAAGTTTACCGCCACCACAAATATCGTCTGCGCAAAGAGTTCACATTGGCATGTTCAATCATATTTTGTCAAATGATTTTTGGCATTTGACAGAAAGAGACTTGCTTTAGAGCGCTGTTTTGAAATTTGTAAAAAGATATCATTATCATTAAGCGCAAGGTGTCTGGAATGGAACTATCACGCTACCAGAATAGAACCATTACTTAATTCCAATTTTGTTGCAAAAAGTTAGCTACAGAATGTCACCAAATCATGTGTATAGCTTTATGTGCTAATCTTGTATCATATGACACTGTGAAGGTTTGGTACAAGAAAGTTCAAAAACAAGGAGTATGATATTCAAGAAGCAGAGCGCTTTGGTTGGTTTTCTGTTGGGCAATTCTGGCGATACTTGCCTTATTGTTCTAGCTATTGGTTATTGTTATGACTGCGCCTTGGTTGGGGATGTTATTCAACTTTTCGATTTTTATTGCTGCCTGTCTATAGAGGTCTCTCAGAACTCGCATGTCGTAAGTGAATATTTTCCTGAATTACAGTGGTGGCCAAAATTGTGGACACTTTTGGAAATTTTTATGTTTTTGAACTTTGTATGCTTATAGAAAACGTTATGTTTCACAAAATGCAAACTTGTATATATCATTTTAAAGAGAATTTATTACTGAATTCAATACAAAAACACAAAATTCAATTATTTGCAATACAAAAAAAGTTAAATGATAATAGTTATCGATATACATTAGATAGTGATGATTGCAGTGAGTTATTAGTACTTAGTAGGGTACCCTTTATTTTTGATTACAGATTCACATCGATGTTTCATTGAGCTGACAAGAGTTTTAAGCTCTTCTTTTGTTATTACATGATGCCAGGAAACAATTATAGTCTCAATTAGTTCCCCTTTATTTGATGGGCACCTCATTCAGACAAGAGTTTTCAAACGGTGCCACAAATTTTCGATAGGATTGAGGTCAGGACTGTTTCCTGGCCATGACAACAATTTAATGCTCTTTGTACGAAACCACTCTTTCGATATTTTGGCCGTGTGGCAAGGAGCAGAATCCTGCTGAAAAATAAACGAAGCACTGTTGGGAAAGAGATCTCTGACGGAAGGTAGAAGTTTTGGTTCTAGATTGTCTTGTCTTGTCTTTTGAATGGTTAGGAGGCAATTAGCAGCCTCTGCTGCTTTAACCACCGCTTTTGAAAAAATGCCCTTAGGCGTTGGTATATATAATTGCCAAAAAATGGGCGTGTAACGCCGCGCCTACTAGGCGAAGCTGAAGCAAATACAAAGGTATGTAGAGTGAAAAAGCATCTGGGAGCTGTTCGAGCTGTGACGAAAGATATAACTAACTGAAAAGTTTGCTTAATAAAGCATTTGAAAAAATAAACATTAAGTAATTTAAATTAAGTATGCTTTTGAAACAGGTTCAGAATGAAATGGATCGTAATTATACTGGTGGGAGTGGCTCAAATGAGGAATAAGTCAACAGTAACATATTTCTGGTGAATTTCAAGAGTTCTCGTACGAGAAATGTTAAAGTCATATAAATTAACAGTATTCACAAACAGTTCACACTGTACAAAGTTCTGGAATAAACACACACTTTTTAAGAAACACTTGTAATTTTTAAAAGACACAATATTTCAGCATAAGTCACAGTTTAGAAGGCGGGATGGTGAAACACACATAATTAAGTCAGTTTGTGTGTCCCTAACAAAGTCTTTTTATAGGAACACTAATAAAATATAAAATTCTTGAAAATAATGATATAAAGTAATAATCCACTGAGCTTTTTTAAGTCCTAAATAAGTTGAAAAAAACACAAAAGTCTCTAGTGGGGAAATATTTACAGTATGTACAGCTTTGGTTCTAGAATAGTGTCAATGTATTTTCTGGCATTCAGTGTCCCATCGATGACATGAAGGCGACCAATACTATCTGCTGACATGCATGACCAAATCATAACATTAACTGGGTTCTTCACAGTTGCTTGAATGCAGTCAGGATGTAGCTCTTCTCTTATTCTACGTCTTACATATTTTCGCCCATCACTACCGAATAACGATATCTTATTTCATCACTCCACATAACTTGTGACCACTGATCATCTGTCCAATTAATGTGTTCCTTTGCCCACTGTAGCCTTTTTTTTTTTTTTGTTGCTGAGAATTAAGATAAGGCTTTTTTCGTGGAATTCTACCTCTCAGTCCAACATCTGTTAATCTTCTCTTGATTGTTCTTGAACTGACAGAAACACCAGCATCATTCAGATTACTTCTAATGGCCGCTGACGACATTTTTCTATCTTGGAGACATTAGTCTTTTTATTCTTCTGTCATCAATAGATGTGGTGCACCTTTTTCGGCCTTTTCCTTCTTTTCTTTGTTTTTTTATTGAATTTGTCTCCTGATATCGTAAACAAAACTTTCGGACTCCAGATGTAGTCACTGAACCACCCACCTGTCTTGCAATTTCAGCATAGGAAAGACCACTTTCTCGTAACACAATAATATTACATCTCTTTCTAGGTGTCCAATCTACTCTTTTATTTGACGTCATTGCTTCTTGACTAAATATTAAAAATTTTTACAAAAATTCCTACTTGTAATTGCAGTGTATAAGAAATAGGTCCTCCTTCTACAGAACAAAGCAAAATAATGAATTGTTTCAAGTGTAAACATGATGTCAGCTTCTACTGGCAGTTACTAACATTTGATTGGTTCTCAGAACAAGAACAGTGATTGGCCAGGAAAGCTAGACATTACAAACCACTTCATAACTGTGTTTTTTATTTATATTAAAGTACATATAACTTTTTTTTGTATTGCAAATAATTGAATTTTATGTTTTGTATTGAATTCAGTAATAAATTCTCTTTAAAATAATATATACAAGTTTGCATTTTGCGAATATGTAACATTTTCTATAAGCATACAAAGTTGAAAAACATAAAAATTTCCAAAAGTGTCCACAATTTTGGCCACTACTGTAAATGCTATTAATAATTCATATCTGAAATATCTCTGCGACTACTATTGCAGACAATGCCACAAAAAGACCATCCGCCTTTACGAGACCTTTCTTGAAACTTCCCAACTGTTCAATTCCTAGGGATTTAGTTTCAAAGGCAATAGTACACTTGAATGATTTCAATATAACACAAGTCAAAATAAAAATTATGCCCATAAGCAAGACCTCTTTTGGTGTAACAGGTTATCAAGACAAGTCTTACCCTTGTTGACGTCACTTGCACTGATGAATATGAAAGTTGAATTTTTTTGTAACAGTAACATTGTATATAATAATGATAAACTTATATCTTTCCTTTTCTTCAGGTAGATTACTTTCTTGTGGATGGAAAAAAAAAAAAAAAAAAAAAAAAAAAAAATTCCAAGATGTTAGCAGACATGTATGCAATGGCACTAAGAGAAATAAGTAAAAGTAAATCATAAGCATGTAAAATAACACTTATGAAATACATACTTATGAAATTCTGATAATTTCATATCCAACTAGTTCTACTGCGGTGGTGGTTCGAGATGTTTAAGACAGTATACTAAACTGGTGACATTGCCTGACCTTGTTCACCTAGCAAGTAAACTGTGTGTTTCAAATCGAAGCATTTTGCCAATTTCTCTTATTATTATTATTATTTTTTAATTGCTTACCTCAAACAGTACAAATTAGTGCTGTAATGTGTACTGGTTTGAGTTACACAAAGCAGTAAACAGTACATCACATCTCGATATATATAGAACTGCTTGACAGCCATTTTCAGAGCTTCAGTGTTTCTAGAATATGAATGATATGCCATAACATTTTATAATTATGATGATTCATTAGTGCTATAAACTAAGGTATCATAAAATAATCCTATCAATTGCATTTGCTAGTGAAACTACATACTGCTTTGCTACACAAATCTAGTTATGAAAACAAACGTTTTTACACATTTTTTTAAAATTTTTAATTGTTAGTATTAGTAATGTATCCTATATTTACAATGTTTCGCATCTTATAAGATAATACCGACCCACAGATGGTTCAACTTGCAACAGATGACTTATTTACAATTTAGTACTATAAATGTATTTTGTTTTCGGTTTGATTTTCTGAACACCATGAAGGAAAGCAAATACAGAAAAGATATTTATTGCATGTAAACAGTATGGTACGAAGACAAAATGATTAAATTTGTAAGCATTTTAGAAGTTTACAGGGGTGCAAAATTAGTAGAAACAGCTGATGCCCCTGACAGCTAAAATGGCCCTTACCCTATTAGTCAGCCATAGAGTCAGACTGGCTTGGATAACAGAAATGGGCAACTCATTCCATGCTGCTTCAAGTCTATGCCACACTTCATCAACTGTATTAGCTCGAGAAGGATGGTGGGCCAGTCTTTCAGCAACCCATGACCAGATGTTTTCAATGGGTGACAGATCTGGAGACCAGGCCAGGGCAGCAATCGAATATCCTGTGTATCGAGGAAGGTCAGAAGACGACGTGCAAAATGTGGTCTTACATTATCTTGTTGTAAGATGGCGTTTGCGAGCCTCGAAGATAGGGCACAACCCCTGGACGTAAGATGTCAGAAATGTACCCATCTGCGTTCAAATTATCGTCAAACCAAACTAGAGATATGCTTGTCGTGTATTCAGTGGCTGCCCAAACCATCAAACCAGGTGCAGGGCTCCCAAGTAAGAAGGCAATGTGGAGTCTCCTAAGATATTCCACACATGTATATGGCCATCAGAATACTGCACATAGAACCAGGATTCATTTGAAGAAGCAACATTAAGCCACTCAGGTTTGTTGTTTAGCACACCAGAGTTGACGTCTCTCTGTATGCTGCATTGTCAAGGGAAGCCGAAGTAATGGTCACTCTGCCGATAGTCGAAACTTGCTCGTAAGCATTTCCTCTTATTCGAGGCATATCACGATATTCTGAGCAAACTTCAATTTTACAAAGTACTTTCGGAATGAGAAATCCACTACAAGAACTTTTCTTTCATGCAGTGCTTCAAATATTGTTTTTCCCTCCTGCGTCGTCTAAATGTGCTGAAATACTAATCATATACATATCCTTTTTCTTCCCTTCTTTGATTTTGATGTTTGTCAGATGATTGTTTCCTGGTGTTGCAATTTTAATGGCCAGAAGTGTATTTTTTTCTCTTTTTTAGAACTTTCTTTTTGTAAGACTGTAAACATATTTGTAACACACACGGTGTGTCAATATATTATTGGTGAAACTTCTGTCCTCAATAGGTTATTATATATGTGGATTCACAACTGTGCAGGATGTAAGCATCCTTAAATTCTGCATAATTAAATTTTTAACCATAATAACTAATTAAAGTGACATAGAAATGAGTTCCAAAAATTCATTTAATCCATAATTTCAGGTCCTTATTATTGTGGTGTTGGGGCGGACAAGGTGTACGGACGAGACGTTGTGGAGGCTCATTATCGAGCCTGCTTGTATGCTGGCATTCCTATTTGTGGTACCAATGCTGAAGTGATGCCTGCCCAATGGGAATTCCAAGTAGGGCCCAGCGAAGGAGTAGCTATCGGAGATGATTTATGGATGGCCCGGTTCATCCTGCAGCGAGTCGCCGAGGATTTTGGTGTTGTCGTAACTTTTGATCCGAAGCCTATTCCAGGAGATTGGAATGGAGCAGGAGCGCACACCAATTTTAGCACAAAACGGATGCGAGAAGACAACGGACTCAAGTAAGCTGACTGCATTTCATTTCTAGCTCAGTAATTTGATTTTGAGTTCTTAAGATTTTACACATAACAGCGTTTCTAGATCAAGTTTGAAAAATGTATTTCTAAACATGAAATTTTAGTTCCCAATCCCCAAAATAATTTCTAGAGATGAGTTTTTAGTAGCCTACTTTAATCAGATGATTTCAGTAAAGTAATAAAATCACTCGAAGCATTTCAAATGATATCAAACACATCTTGTTGTAGAGTAATAACATGAAAAGGCAAATTAAAGGAATTATTAGATATGGATTATACAAAGGAATCCTTTGAAAAAATTAATTAGTGAAATAACTATGAACTTAAAATCAGCATGACCTGAATATGCCAAGAATTTTGCAGTTTCGAATGATTACAGTAAAATTCAGAGTGACATCACTTAATAAAGGCAAATAACCTAATTATTTCGAAAGTTATTCTTAAGGATGTGATATGCAAGAAAGTTAAGTTAATCTTAAAAAGAAACAAGAATGGTCTTTAATCTTTCTTGCCTAACAGGTGATGCCTATACTGATTTGAACAGAATAACTTTGCTTTTTATATCAAAATACACTTAAGTGATGTTGGTATCCTTTGAAGTTTACAGTGGTAAGTCATTTTCTGCACATGTAATCATTTTTTTCAGCCTTTCTTTAAAATTTAAACTTTTTTTTCCAGTTTTAGCCCTAAAATTACTATTTTTCATTCTGTAGAATCAATTTTATACCATATATATATATAAAAAGTTGGGAATGAACAACTTCTAAAGTTTTTTATGTTTGTTTTGCTAGGGAGATTGAAAAGGCGATTGAGCGACTTTCTAAACATCACGAACGGCACATTCAAGCTTATGATCCCAAACAGGGTAAAGATAACGAGCGACGCCTGACGGGCTTCCATGAAACTTCCAGCATCCACGACTTTAGTGCCGGGGTGGCTAATCGGGGTGCCAGTATCCGTATTCCACGACAAGTTGCCGAAGAGGGAAAGGGCTATCTTGAGGACCGACGTCCCTCGTCCAACTGCGATCCTTACTGTGTTGCAGAAGTCCTTGTCCGGACTGTATGTCTGGAGGAATGATACCTTCTGCTTCTTTACCCACCTACAGACATTCGTACTTCGTTGAAATGAACTGTGTCGTCTGTTCTTAAATAGATGTCCTTCACTTCTTTTTTGTGCCCCGATGCACCTTGATTTTATTCTATCACTGATTTTTGATCAACGAATTTTATTTATGCAATAAAAGTAGATTCGATGTATGTTAATCTTTGGTGTTATGTTCTGAAAACAGAATTTAAAAGAGATAAAATATTTTTATTGTATTATTGACTATACATAATAAATATAATTTATTCCATGATTGCTTGATATCAATGTGACAGACATTTTGAAAATAAATAAAACTTTAAGTAAAATCTGATGTTAATTTCTCAACTGTAACCATTTAATACATTTTGAGCAAGAAACTTTACTCTTGTATGTATTAGTCCTAAACATGAATCGAGGGGAGGGGGCAAAAATGTAATTTTGTGTTGCACAAATAGTTCATTTTGTTGTTCTTGTACTTTTCTTCTGAGATTTGGCAGCTGACACGTTTAGGTTGCTCTAGAAACAAATTCCGTGTATTTTTATTTAGAAATCTTAGTTTACAATTGATTTTAACCATGGGGTATGAAAATAACTATTTTCCCCATATTTTACTTTTTTATTTCATAAAGGCAAGAAAGCAGCTGAGGCTCACAGAGAGATAGATGAAATTTATTGTGTTAATTAACTAAATCGAATCATCACATAACTGTGCGAGAGATTGCAAAAAGGTTAAATGTAGCAATTGAAAATCGCATAAGACGCCCTGAACTCGTTAAGAAGCTCGATATTTGGGTTCCCCATGAACTGAATGAAATTCACTTAATACAACAAGTCAATATTTGCATTATGCATTTAAAACATAATGCAATCGACCCCTTTTTGAAATAAATTATCACTGGTGATTAAAAAGGGTCATCTACAATAATATTAATCGAAAAGGATCGTGGTCTAAGCATGATGAACCAGCACAAATCATATCGAAAGCTAAATTGCATCAGAAAATGATCATGCTGTCAATTTGATGAGGTTACAAAGGTGTTGTGTATTTTGAACTGCTTCCAAGCAACCAAACGATCAACTCAGATGTTTACTGGCAACACCTTATGAAACTGGAAGCAAATCAAAGAGAAAAGGAATCATGTTCCACTATGACAATGTGAGGTCTCCTGCAATTTCAGCAAGATGGTCCCATCATGTTATCATTTATTTCAGTGTAGATGATGCATATATATATATATCACTCTAAAATACTGAGAAGAAGAATAGTGTAGATGCCTATAGTTATCACATTCTGCAATATGAAAAACCTGGAGGTGTTCGTGCATTGCAGCGATGTGACTTCGAAAAGCCTTCAAACTAACAAATTTTATTTAAAAAGTGAAAGGCATGATTGGGGTGATTAAACTAGTTACAACATGACTTAAAATAAATTTAGAATAATGAATAAAATACTAAGGGTTTTGGGCTATTTTCCTTCTACTGCTTAATTTTATATTGACAGAAACCTGGGAATGGGGAAAATTATTTTACAGAATGGTTTTAAACACTATGAAAATAACAATTAAATATAATCATGCGGTTAAAATTACTAATGCAACCATCAACTAATTTAATGCAAAATTAAATACAATTATTCATCCATCCATGGGATGTCAGTTATGTCTTAATGAAATGCTTTACAAATGTTTAAAATAGTACACATGAGATTGAATAAAAATCAATCAGAAAAAAACATTCTAATAATCATTAAATATATATATATATGCACAACAAATCGCTGGACCGAATTTTTATTGTAAATCATTCTAAATGCGTTTACATTTTCTCAACGCGTAAACTTCTATTCCCATAAGGTACTTACAAAGTTCTCTTTCTTTGTGTAATGCTTGTCAGTTACATAATTATTAAATACTACCCATTATAGTTTTAGTTTTGTCAGCATCTAAATATATATTACAATAATCACATTCAAAATAAGAAAACCAAAAGTGTTACGAGGTAATGAAAAAATAAACATAAATATAACAGAAAACATATTTAATATTTCTCATCATGGATGTACAATAAAACTTGCATGGATATACAATAAAATCATACTAAAGTTCTTAATATCCCATTCAAGCAAATAAAGCACAGATCAAATGAGAAAGCATATTTTGGATTCTTCTGATTAATCCAATTACTTTACTGTACTGACATTAAAATTTCATTACCTCTGCTTTTCATAATAAGTGGCTTAGGAAATTGCAGGCATGTCCATGTTGTTTTGAACCTTTTTGGAAAGGTTATATTTTCCAGCTTTCCACTATTAGAAAAAATACTTCCAATTTAAGACAACATGCTCCGATACAAATCTGTAATCTTTACATGGTCTGGGAGTCTGGAGAATAATTTTAGAATTATATTTGCTATACATATATTATGTTAAGAAAGATACACATACGGAATTTTCTTGACCTACTCTCAATTTAAAGCAAAGAAGAAATTTATAATACATAACATCTAACTATTAAATGGTGCATACGTTTTTAAACGAGCAACAAGTTTTAATTTTCCTTAAGTTTACAAATCTAAAATTAAAGGAAACAATTATAAACTTACCTATGAATACAAAATTATATATATAAAAAAAAACTCATCACATGCAAATCAGACTCACAAGAATGGTAATCCCATGTACTGAAAAGGGACAGTATTTCACTCTTATGTATACAACATAAGTATACTTAAGTAACATAGCTTAATATGTATACAACATAAGCTTGAATAGACTTACAAACACAGCTAAGTGAAATCTGAAAAGTGGTTTTAAGTTGATAAATGAGTTTTATTGAAGAACCTCAAAATTAACTGAAAGATCTGTTACTTGCCTACAAATTGATATAAGAAAAAAAGAATACATAGGTCATCATGAAATTTTGTTTAAGCGATTAGGATGAGAAAAAAAATTGACTCATGCAATCTACACAGGAAACTTCTTCAGCAAGCAGCTGAGATAAGGAGGTGGTTGCAAACTATCACAACTAATAGTGCATAATATTCATCTTTTACTACTTACATGAAAATCTTATCCGATTTAGACTCTTGTTTCATTTTATTAAAAAATAAATAAATAATTAAATCTACTTACTGATTTTATCAAATTATGGTTATGAAAAGGTAATAAAAAGTATAAACTTAAATTTTAAAAAATACATGGTCATAATTTAGAAAGTATGGATAAGAAAAGTAATAAGCAATATTTCTCTGTAAATTTACTGAAAACATTCCTGAACTCAACAAACTAGGAAGAGATCAGGATCCAGGGTATTTTGACGCGAAACTTTTGCATTATATAGTAGAAATTTCGAAAAATTAAGAGTTGAAAAAGAAAAGTTTTAAGTGATAGTTTTTGGCAGATTTAAAAAAAAAGGGGGGGGGGAGAACAATGTTGAGTTAAAAGTTTAAAATTTTTCTTTCCACTGAGCAAATCTAAATTGCACATTCAACAATTTCACAATGAACATCACTAGTATCAAAGCTTATAATATTGCACATTTTATATAATGGAACAGATATTTAAATACGAGAGTTTGGAATACAGCATCAGATCACATAAAATAAAGAACAATCTCAAAAATATATTGTTTGTGCAAAATATATTTTTTGATGCTCCTGAATAGGCAGAAAATGAAAATAGGCAACTTTCACATTTCAAATATGTAAATAATTTCATAACTCCTTTTTCCTCCACACTTAATGTTTTATCATTTAATATTAATATGCGGCAAGTGAGATGAAAATATAGAAGCGAAAGAAAGAAAACGATGTTTTCAAGATGAAAACTTGATTCAGCTTCATTCTGATTATAATTTTAAATTTCGGTTTCCAAATCTAAAATTAATATCTACATTAAAATTATGTAAGAATAATATAAGAAAGATTATTGAAATGATGTAGTTTAGAGCGATTTATTATAAGCAGGCACTGATTTTAGATGGAGAGGGGAAATGACAATTTCAAAAAGGAGAGTTAAGAGATTATTATAAATTTAAGTCAGTACTTAATTATTACCCACTTTTTACCTTACATTTATATATATAGCATTTTATGATGAAATAAGAGACACGTGAAAACTAGGTCCTAAATATAATGATATAAAGGGATCCAAGATATGCATATTTCTCATTTGCATTGCACAGAAGTTTCAAAGTTAGCATCACAATAATATTCTTTTTTCCTCTATGGAAAAAGTTAATCTGATAATATTAAATATAATAAATAGTACTTCTGCCTCAATGAGACTAAATGTGCCAAGATTAAATAAAGTACATAAAATGTTTCAAAACTAAAATGCAACACTTGGTACCATAATAAAAAAAAAAGAGTAAAAAATGTGGAATGAATCTGCTCATTCACAGTGAGAAACATAAGGAAACAACTATGTTTCCTTATGTCTCTCATCAATAATGTAAATATTTCTACAGAGACTAAATAGCTATTAAAAAGACAGAAATTAGCAAAATGGATCATTTACATACATTTACACTACAACTAATACTTTGAGATGAAATTTGAGCAGGTTCTTGCAAACCTTTAGAACATATTAAAATTCAAGGTGATAAGTGATACAACTAATACCCATTCAAATTATTTCAAGAAAATATATCTTCTCTTTTATTTATTTAGCACTTTCTAAGCCTATTAGTTATGTTACAAAATTTTAATATTTATAATATTGGTGAGAAAAGTTGGTACAAAGGTCATAATTCTTCAGACGGTATGAATAGTCATAATTCTAATGTACAGGTCATAATTCTTCAACTAAAGAATTTAGGGAAGAGCAATACACCAATGTAGAATTTAAAATTAAGCAAAAAAGCAAAATCAGATTAGCATACATTGAGAACAGATGATTTCATAGGGAAAACATACATAGGCCCCTCGTCTTCCTGAGGAAAAAAATCATATAAGCATGTGAATATTTCATATATTCATATGAGCACGAAATGTTTTTGATTTGGGAGGAGAAGAACGTATGTCTGGTCACCCTTGAAATCAATAAAATTCATAGATTCAAAATCTATGCTAACATAGTTGTTATTATTATTATTTTGTCTATATTTAAATATACCATATTCTAAACTTGAAATTTGTATTTCAAAAATTAGAAATTTTATACCAACATTTATATTTTTGGTAACTTTTCACCCTTTCGCACCTAACGGGACACATACGTCCCAAGAAAATTAAAAAAAATACTCTTGGGATAGAAATGCTTCTCTGTCTAAC